GAGACTTCTGGTTTTCTACAGATAGGGTGAAATGTGGGAGGGAAGAATGGGAAGATTTTTTTCCTAGTACCTTGCCCCAACATTGAAGTCCTCTACAGAGGGGTGGAATTCACTTCCAAGCTCTCCTGATGGATGCCAGTTAAAGGCTTTCTCAAATAGACTTCTAGGGTCAGACTTGCTCGTCCTTTGTACTCCATCAGCCTTAGTACTAATTTGTGAACTTGCATCATTGACATTACATGGCTACATGACTTAAACCACAAGTCGGAGATCCTCTATGCAGTCGGTTTCTGGTCTAATGTGGTAGCATGAATGATCCTGGATGCTGAGCGAAGTTCTCCTCAGTTTTGTTACAGCACTTCATTTTGGTAGTGCAAATGAGATTCCATAAATTTAATATTTCTGCATGAAATTTCTAGATACTTATTATTAAGCTACTACATACAGATCTTGTCGTTTTCATGTTTTTATAGTAGCATAAAAAATGGAAATTAAGTGAAAATGGCTAAGTGAATTTTCTGCCTTCCCATGAAAGTTTAGATTTTGATCTGACTGTCTTTTTTTTAAGTACAAAGTGCTTTCTGTGGGACTCTGTTTTAGTTGCACTAGTGTAATATGTCACCAAGAGTGGAAATTGCTGTTTCCTGGGTGAGAGCTGGGGAGGAATGCTGCCAGTGGGATTGCTTTAAGTGGTTGACTTGTGCTTGCTATAGCATTAGATGAGAAGGAACATCAGTTGAAGGCCAAACAGCACGAGTAACATCCTGAGCAAGAGATTTGAGTTGCTTGCTTGCGGCTAACTGGATTTCTTTTCAGTATGACATTTGCTTGGTGTTTATCACCATTGTGGTAGCTTTGGAGCCAGAATAGATGTTGAGGTTAATGGTGTTTATTCTGACTAGAGCCTTAGATTTTACAGCTTTGCCCAAGGGAATTCGCCTCTGTAGCAGAGCAACAGGATGGTGGTGGGTGAGTAGCTGGCTACAAGGGTGTATGTAACAACCAGTGGCAGATTGCTTAGGTCCCAGTTGGAATTTTAAGTCAAGGCAAATATTATTGATGATGATAGTAGTGTTAGCCTCCAGAGGGGAAGGAAAATGTTTAGTTCAATCTTTGAGATACTTTCTGGAAGAGAAAATAAAAAAGAGTAATTACAGAAATCTATAAATTTCTTCCCTTGGAAAACTTTTTCATCAAATAGGTTTGGTTTTTTAAGCTTCACTACTATGGCAGTTGGAAGGGTAAAAGGGCTACCACAACACTCTGCATTTCCACAACTGACAAAGTTGTGGCTAAATGAAGCGTGTCTTTCTGTCATTTTGCTTAAGTGCTTTTGGCATCTATTGAGCAGAGCTATACACTTCTAATCTTTTTAATTTTGATTGATCTTTTCAATCCTGAAGTAGAAAATAGGGTGCATTTTCAATGCAACATTTAAATTGAAATATAAAATGGTGTTTTGTAGTTGTATCCATTATTAGTTTGGTGAGTTAACCTTGGCCTGCTCCCAGAAGCCCACTCAGCTGCTCCCTCTTCTACAGGACAAGGGGAGAAAAGACTTGTGGGTCAAGATAAAGACAGGGCTACCACTTATCAGTTACCATTGTGGGCAAAGCAGACTTGACTTGGGCGAAAATTACTTGAATTTACTGTCAATTAAAAGAGACTTGTATAGTGAGAATCAAAGAGAAAGTTAAAACAGTACATTTCCTCCTCATTTACCCAAGACTGATTTCACTCCCAACTCCTCTACCTCCCTCTCCGCCGCCCCCAGCCATGCCAGGGATGAATAACAGGGTTGTGGTCAGTCTGAAAGAGCTCCTCTCTCCAGCATGTCCAGCACTGGGGCACAGACACCCACCACAACCAGTAAAGATAAAAGAACACAAAACTTTTTTTTTTTTCCTGTCCATCTTTCACTATTAGGTTTCATATAAAAACACTGAAAAAGAAGACAGCACTGTTGCTGTTTGGAGGTATGCGCGTGTTTGCGCACATACGTACTTGCCATTCCTTTTATCACAGGATGCTAAGGAGACCAAGACAAGCATGCAAGGCTGAATATATGATTTCCAAGACCACTCATGGGATGTCTGGATGGATGGGTGACAGTGTGCTGGGTTAGGGTTCAGGCTGGGAGTCCACCCTGTAAATAACGCATGCCCCGCACCAGCTGGGTGCAAAGTCCCCATCGCAAACTCTTAGGTGTTACGGTACTAACTACGAGCTAGTCTGGTTCATACTGGAAGCCTCAGTGCACCTTGTCCCATAGGTTGGCTAATGGGCACCCGTGTTACCTCGTATGTCCCCCTTTTACCAGCATTTTCAGAACAGCTGAACTGTGATTGAGGAGGACCTGCAGAACTGAAAGCTTGTCTGACAGTTTAGTTTCTTCCTGTAAGTTCACAGAGACTTGTACTTAGGCAGGGAATTTTCTCACCAAAGCAGCTTTTGCCAGATTCACCAACGTTTAGAAGGCACTGCTCAATTTTCTAGGCTTTCCGAGCTGCATTAAAGATACATGCTTTTCCAAAATGTTAACAGAAACATATAAGAAATGTTTGTTTGCTTGAGCAAATGCACACTCTGAAAGCCAAACTCTGAAAATTACTTAAAAAAAAAAAAGTTAATGGGTCATATTTTTTCATCAAGCCCAAATACCAGAAATACACATGTGCGAAGTCACATGTGCCGTGTTTTACTGTTTCTGTATGAATAATGCAGAATGTTGCTTAAAAAAAAAGATTTATGAGGGTATTGTTGAGCTTGAAAAACGTGGAAAAAATGTCTGCTACATGAAGATGGACAACCAGCTGTGCCTGTGCTCATGTTGAGCGCTGTACCTCCAGGAGGCTGGGTACTATGGAAGGGGCTGTACACTGCGAGGTTGTGCATTGACACTTTGCAGCAAATGTACTGGGCTGGAAAGTGAATGATTTATTGGGGATTGTAAACCAAGGTGGAGTGAAGTTGCTTGGCCCTGAGTGCAGGGTGGTAATTCGGTGCTGTTCCATCCCCCAAGGAAGTGGGCAAGGGAGGTGTCCCAGTTAACACCCAGTGCCACATCTCTCATTGACTCCAAGAGGTTTTGCACTAAGCTCTAAATTGGGAAAGTTCAGTTTCAGAGGAAAATGAAATGACTATTGATTTTAATAACTGTTATGAAGGGTAAAGTATAAATAACAAAAATGTTGTAATTAAAACCAAACAAAACTAAAGCCACAAAAACCCCCAAATGAATACTGTCCGAAAGATATCTTAACCAAGGAGCTGTTCCAGCTCCAAACAGTGGCAATCATGTTGATGAGCATCGCTTCTGTGCTGAGACACCGTCCCTTTAATGTAATGCTGTTTTTCCATCAGAGGAGGAAAACTTCTCTCCTCTTGCAAAAGCGATCCCAGCCTGCTTTTGCTCTTTAAAGTTGATTTGCTGATTTACCGCCTCCCTCCCACACTACTTAATGTAAATGATGTGCGGTGGTCACTGACTTACAGCTGAAGGTGTTGTGTTCCTTTTTGCTGCCTCCCACTTTTCTTCTGCAGACAGAATTGACCCCACCAGCTGCTACGTTTGTCAGAGACATTCTTTCTTATATTTCTTTGCCTCTGGGGCTCAAAAACACCAGAGAGTGGTGAAGCTGGAGTATGAAAGAACAAATGAATGGCTGAGTTACAGGGTGAGCAGCTGTAGGACATTTAGAGACGCTAAGGGAATAAAAAAAGAAACCTGCTGAGGTTGTCTCCTGAGAACAACCAAGAATATATTGATTATTCCTGTGGTGCTGTTAGGTGTGATTTACTATTTGGGGAAACTGAGCATTTCTAAGAATTCAGGAAATTAAAAAAATAACTCAGGTATGGTCTCAAGGACTCCCAAACATCTTTGAAATTAACAGTCTGTTTGGGTATATTTGGGTATATACCAAGATATAATGCATCTACCTAATTAAAAAAGAAAAAGAAAAAAAAAAAAGCTTGGATTTAGTTTCCAGTCTCCTTTCAGTGTGTAAACTTGTTATTTCAAAACAAAGATTTAAACTGTCTCTAGCAATTGGATCCTGCTGTGTTTAGTATTACCCCTGCTGTGTGTTTTCAGATCTAGATAAGACATCTAACTGAGGTCCAGACCTCTTATGGTCTTTAAAGTTCCCAGAAACCATTTTGAAAGAGTGTAATTTTTATTGCCTGTTTATTAAATGCAGTCAGTGCACAAACAGAGAAAAGATCCTGCTTGACCCATGTAGTTTACGGATGAAGCAAGTGGCTAAAGTAGTGTGCTTTTAATACTGGGGGATTAACCCATGTTAAATTCAGCGTAGTTGGTATCTAAGTCTCCATTCCACCTATCCATAATTTGAAGGGGGCCTGGAACTTTTTTACGGCCTCACTGGAGAAGGTTGCTGGATTTAATCCTGGTCTCTTTTTCATACTTTATTGGTTTTGAACATTTCTTTCAGTTAGGGCAGATGCACTTCCAAATAGTTAAGAGATAAAAAAAATAAAAAACCCAACCCCAAACCCCCCCAGAGCAAAGTCTAATAAATGTCATTTGTTAGCACTTCACCGTTGTTTGGCACTGTTAAGGCTTGTATCAAGTGTAATGCAGGGTGCAATTGGCTTTGCGTTGAGTATGGCCCCCCACTGTTTTTCTTGTCGCCCCAGGGGGACATTTATCACAAGTGAGAGAGCAATTACAGTACAGTTAAACTCACTGTAGTAAATCTTGTTTTTTAAAGAGAGAGCTAAGTTTGTTGTTGCGGGTTTGGCTGTATGTCATGAGTTTTGCAGCCCTTGTTCAGTCTGCTATATGGTCTGGTATGGAGACCCGGTGACGCTGCCTCCTTTAATTATAGATTGTGCTTATTTATAATGCATGACCAATTTTAATAAAAGGATATGCTTTAAAAATTAATGGCCCTTTGTTCCTACATATGGGACCCAGTTTAAGGCTCTTCATCTCTCTTTTTCCCTCTGTCCCCTGCCACCCCCTTCTGCTGCAGCGAACCTGCGTCCAGGGGCTGAACAGAAAGTGGTGTTCATCACTGCACGGGTCCACCCTGGGGAAACACCGTCTTCCTTCGTGTGCCAAGGTGAGTGTCTGCGTGAAGGTGGCAGAGCTGGCAAAACCTGATTTCCTATCGATGCACGTATTGGGTTTGCATAGCTTTGGATCTGATAGAAGACTGAGTTCACATGATGGTTTTTTCCACAGCGAGGAAAGATATTAGCAGGATCTCTCACCTCTGCCCAGCTGCCTGTCTTCTGGAGGCAATAGGAATGTATTATCTCTGAATGCTTGCTGAACTTGGTCAGAATTGGACAGTGAGCTCTGGAGCTATTTGGGAAGAACTGACAGTCACACTTGTCCATATGCAACGTGATCATGTAAGGCTCCTTATGAAAACAGGCTGGAAAAGCTCAGGGAGTGGTTCTCTGTTAAGTGCTGATGTTGTCTTGCTGTCTACTATCTTCAGCTTATTTTCCACCACAAAGCAGTGACCCTAGTTCTCCAATTTAATTCTAAGAGGCCTCTATTTGTCTGAAGTTGCTGCTCTGAGGAGCACAGCTCCCAGTAGCTGACAGCTGTTCCCTGCACAAAGCATTCCTGCTAAAAATAGAAAGCAAATTGCCCAGCTTGTATTTATAAAGAGTTGTAAATCTCAGGCTTGTGGATACAAATAAATAAATAATCCTGGCATGTGTTCATATAACTTCATTGTGTAGGTCTGAAATATTGTACTTATTGTATGTGACTTTCCGCGGTGGTAAATTGTTGATGCTATAAATCAACGTAACTTCCCTGAAGCCAAGGCAATATGCTAATTTACTACATCAGCTTGGATCTGGCCCTGCCTAGCCAATGAGTCGCATCAATCAAGCATATGCAGTGTTTATTATGTTGGCTGCTTGTAACGTTGCAGATTGGTTTGCGACTGGCCCTGTTGGTACCTAAGGACCTCGATGGGAAAGGTTGGCACGGTTTCGTGATCTTCTCTGTGTGCTTCTTGTCCTGGCAAGGTCCTGTGTCTGGCATCTCTCTAAGGCAAAAGGTCAACAGCTGTCACTTCTGCTCTCCTAGTCCAATGGGCTAACAGGATACTGGGCCTCTTCTTGCTGGCCCATGGAGTAGCAAAGGTAAAACCCTTTAATAAAATGATGCTTCAGACTGAGAGCAGGAAAACTCAGCAGGTTTCCCATCTCCTGTAGTGTCACAGTCAATGCAGGGCATTATCGTACACATGATGTTTGTTAATGAATATGGATTTTTAATTGGATGCTTTGATTCTGTTTGTGGCTGCTGGCATAGCCCTGTGAAATGAGAGATGAGGCATGCTGCTGAGGCGGTACTTTGTAAATGACGTTATTTTATTTTGATAGTGCGGAGTTTATTTAAAAGGAGAAAAAATAAGAATGTGAAAAAGCAGGTGGCACGCTTAGCCCGATGAAACAACTGGATGGAAGTCATGCTCTGATTGTCTCAGGGAAAGTTCACGTTTTGCACAAAAAATTAAAACAAAAAGAGAGAGGAAAAATTATGTAAAAGAAAAAGGATGGATCAGTCTTGGAGAAGCACATCAGAAACTTGCTGTGACTGCAGTTATAATACACGCTTGACTCGCTTGGAAATGCACGGCTCTGAAGGCACTGAACTCCGCTGTGCATTGAGCCATTCTGCCCAGTGCAGATGAAGCCGCCTTGTGTGTATAATTAGTGTCAAGACAAGTAGAAATGGCAAACATTTCAAGGCCATTGCCGCGTTGTTTCTAGCGTTGCCAAATGTGAAATTGGGTGCTTGCTCCATCTTTGGAAACTTTTGTGTGGCAGGGTCAAAAGAAGGGATAAAAAGGATCCCTTTGGCAGTCAAGTGAGGGCACAATGAGGAATTTTATTTCTGGAGTCTTGAGAAGCATTTTGGCAGAGTTAGGTGTTGCAGATTTAATATCCAAATGCCAGCCCAGTGCATATGGAACATGTCAGGATTTTTTTTCTTGGTAGAGAGATTTCTTCCTGAATGTTTGATTATGCTCACCACCTGAAGTATTAAGATATGGAAGCTAATCCCAAAGATTCCCCAGGTGCAAGCTGCATCTTGTATATGGAAGAGCAGAATTGTAACTGCCCAGGCCTGGAGAATCACCCTGCAGGGGAATAGATAATGAGTTACAAGATTCCTTTTTTTTGTTCATTTTTTTCAGTCAATCATGGGTTTCATTCAGTTCAAGCTCTATCTTTCTCTTTAAAGCTCTAAGCTCATAACTAACTCCTTACTCATTTTTCCACCTGTCTTTGAGCTAGCCAAGTTTCTTCCTGACCCCGTCGGCCCAAGCTCTGCTAAGGGTATATAGCTATGTGTAGCCCAAACACCAGTTTCCTGGGGCCTGACAGAAGCTCTCTGTCATCTTCCATTTTTTGACTAGGCAAGATACCCTGAGAAGCAAGTTGTCTAGCCTTGATACATCAGGATATACTTGGTCCTCTCTATTGGTCCTTTGTCCTTAACTTTACCCACAGATTAAATCAAAGCAAAGAACTTTGTGTTCCAGAACTGTATTGTTTCTGCATCACCCTTCTTCACATTCCATTATGAAGAATCCACTAAAAACTGAATTTTGAATACAAATACCTGTATTCCTGCAGATGTACAAGTACTGTAAACTTGGATACACACCTCTATCTCCTTACAGCTGTGGAGTGCTTGCAGCAGTAGCCAGACCTCCCTAGAATCATTAGTACCTCCTCCAGCAGTTAAAAACAAGTGCTATAATATTTCACACGTGGTACAGCTGCTGAGCTGTAGCTCACTTCCTTAAAAGGCAGAGAAAACCCCAGAGAGCCTCTTCATAGAAAGATGGATTAAGAACATTTTGTTTCTGTTTTGGTCTTTTAAGAGTTATTACGACTCCTCACGTTAGCCTTTTTAGGAAGTTTTCCTGATAGTTAACTGCCTGTTGTGAAGTTCAGGGACAGAGATGGAGAGTTAGTCACCAGGGAGTATATTTGCATGAATACCCTTTACATCCAAAGGTAGGATGGTGATCTTCTCAGGCTGTGTGGTCATCATGAACATTGATGCTTGTGTCATGTTTGGGGATGAGTAAGTAAGAGTAGGGTCTAGGATGAAGAGGACGCCGTTGTTTTCGCTTTGCTCTTATAGACCGCTTTCTAACCAACTGGAGTCACTGCTGCTCCTGGAGGGCTTTTCTAGTGCAACACAAAACGAATTCATCTTACAGCTTGAACTCATCTCTCATGGGCTGCTCAGATTTCTGAGGGATCTTTCTTAAGTTGTGGGTTTAGACTCTTTTCCTTTCTTAGATATTTTTCCCTCATTTTCCTCCATCCAGGTTTTTTTTTTATTTAAGAGAACGTATGCTATTTTCTGTTTTCCACATTATACTGTTAAGGCAAGTTATTAACTCTTACAGATAGGGTCAGATGTCAGATAATGCCTATATACATATGTAGCATGCACAAATAAGTGTGTGTAAAATCTGTACGAGTCCCTACCCTCTAAACACTGGTCGTAAACCACCTTTCCAAAGCCTTGGATCCAGCAATAGGATTATTCCCCCCCCCGTATTCTTACAGTCTTATTTTGCTTCCTTTGGCCTCTAGATTTTATTTTCTTTGTGGGAGATAAGCAACTGTGTCTCACTATTCATGTGCATGGAAAGTTGTAGGAGACGGGGTGACGTTTAAGTTTGTCGTGTATGCCTTGGCTTTTGCCAGCAGTCAGTAATTGCAAGTTTAAGCTTGTCTAGGTGTACTTAGACATGTACTTTCATCATAGATTTAGCAGGTTCTATTAGTAGGATGCAATTTGTTGCCTTTTTAAGACATTTGTCAGTGTGGCATCCACAGTGCCATCTAAATGCAAAAGTGAAAATATGTATCCTAAGCGTTTTACTTCAATGTAGTTTGCCAGGCTGGGAGCCCAGAATGGAAAACCCAGAGCAAAAGGGGAGGTAGAGGGATCCCACAGCCGGGTTTGCAGGTGCTGAGCATCTTGTGCTAAGTGTAATTTGACCTGAAGCTGACCTTGAAGCTTATGGGCTGAATAGGGAGCAGCCATTAAAAAGAAAATATAAGGAAAACAGACACCTGGGACTCTTATCCATAAGAAATGGAGCAAAAATGACTTTTCAATCAATCTTTTTTCATTACAGCTGCTTAAATGAATGCTCCCTCTCGCTTCACCTTAAATCAGACGATGTGAAATGAAAAAACAGACTACACTGGGCAATGCCTCTTGGTTTTCTGTTAACAGTCTGTGTTTTTAACTGCCACCATCTTGCCAGCAGAGGGCAGGGAAAAAAAAAATCTGAAGACTTTTATACAAATTTTGTTTCAAGTTTTAAAGAATGAGGTAGAAAGGGGCAGACTGCCTGAAAACAAGTCTCTTACCAGCTGTCTCAGGAGTCCTGCTGTTGCACAATAGCTCACTGGGCTAGTGGGCAACTGAACTTGTTTTCTGTGTGACCAAAGTGCTCCACGTGCTATGAAGGATTTAATTCCTGGACAGATTCCGATATGGCTTCTTAGCAGTGGTGGCAGTTTTCTAGCTCCCTTCATGGAAGCAGTGCCTTCAGATTCTTTGAATTTCATCCTGCAGGATCCCTGAAAGAGTTAGTAAGAGAGTGAAGTTGCTATAACATGAGTGGGACTTGGGTTTTTTGGTTTGGATTTATTTTGCTTGTAAGAAAGGCAGTTGTATGTGAGAGGAGTAATTCTGAAACTTGTTGCTCCTACTTGGAATTTTAGCCAACGTCTATCTTTTGTTATGAAGAAAGAGGAGGAATAAACTGTCAGGGTTAAAAGATGCTTTTCTGCTTCCTTCACTAAGCATAAAAATCTTTTGAGCGTTAGGGCATAAGTGATATTAACTGAAAGACAGGACATGTTTTAAATGCAAGAGTAAATGCAGCTAATGAAGCCTTTACATGTGAAAAGAACCTTTCTGAAGTAACAGAGGTGATGGTATTGCTGTTTCCAGGGGGTAAATTTCTCCTAATGAAATGAAACTGAGTTCTGTAGGCATTGATATAGGATGATTTTGGTAACAGAAGCTGTACTGGAGAAAAACACTGAA